CAGCTGCCCAGGCGCGGCGGGGCTCCGCTGGCGGTGCCCGCGCCGCCTGCGTCCCGCGCGCGGGCGAGCATCCCCGGGAGAGGCGATCCGCCCCTTCCTCCGGCAGGGCGATCTCGCCGCCTCGCGCACCCTCCCTCGGCGCATCTGCTTTTTGCATCGCCCCCCCTCCAGCCCCAGAGCTCCCCTCCTTAACACCCGTGTGTGCTATTCATATCCTTTGACTAGTCTAATGCCTGCAGACAATCAGGTCCCCAACCACCTCCACCTCCCCCCTCCTCAAAAGCTTCCCTCAGCTGTCTTTAAGTCGTATCTGAAATATGCTGTATGTAGGAGGAGAAATTCAGTCTGACAGCAGTTTAAAACACTGCACTACTTGGCAGATTTAAATGCTATTTTAAATATAAGCTATGACACAACGGACAAAAATAGCATTGAAAATACTCTGTCATGTTCCATATTGCGAGGACTAGAGAAGCAGACCGGGCTAGAAAGGTGCAGAGAAGGAGGCCAGATGGAGAATAGAGGTTATTTTGTTTGTTTTAAAGGAACCGGATGAATGTATTTTGTATATGACTGGGCAAATGTGTTTTATGGAGCATGGAGCCAAAAAGGAATAAACCTTCTCGTGAAAATCTACATATTTTATTCCATGTGGAATCTGCCAAAGCAGGCTTGCTGGTAAATAATTGGTAAGAGGATATATTTACTGCCAAGCTGTTTTGGTAATACCCAACATGAACAGCCACTGGGCTGCTAACAGATTCTTTGTCATCCCTGAGCCTTTACCTCCCTTTTATTTATTTACAGTTTAATAGGAATACTCTCTGCTAAACCACCCCCCCCCACATAAACAAACAAAAAAGCCACCATAAAATAGCTAGAAGTGATTATTAACTTCAGGCTGCTGGTGCAATGACCCCCGCACTGCGCCAGACCAGGGAGCAGGGCACCGCGGGAAGCAGGAGAGCAGAAGCAGCAACCCAGAGTGAAAAGGGACTGCTGTCTGCTTCAGCTAATTTATGCAGCTGAGTGTAAAACCCACAGCGAATCCCCCAAAGATGGGCACTAACACCCCTGCAGCCAGAGCGTTTCTGTTCGTGTGCTGCTGAGCGGCCGTGGAGCAGATGCAGGCCGGCCCCGGTGGCTGGCACGGGTCACTTGCGTGCCGAGGGACCCTTTGCTGTCTGCTCAGCTTAGGAGAAACCTGTTTATATGTGTTTAAAGACAGAGCCAATGAGCAGGCTGCCTTTAAGGGGAGCGTCCAGATTTAAACAAGCTAATTTATCAAACCTAGGCCACGTGGCCAGCCGGGAGAGACAGGAGCAGCACGCCGGCTGCAGGAGCGCAGGCTGAGACGCTGGCGCTGCCCGCCTCCGTCTCCCGCGGGCACCCGCATGCTCCTGCAAGATCCCAGGAGACTGTGTGATCCAGCCGCGTGCCAGCGGAACTGCCACCAGATCTGGGTGCAAAGCACCAGAGCAGGGAGCGCCCGGGCTCCAGATTACAGGACTGCAAGAGGAGGGTGGAGGAGAGCTGTCCTCTTCATTGCCTTTTCCAAATAAAGGTACCACTCCGAGCTGCTCTTGTCTCTTAGCATCTTATTTCCCACCACCCTGCATGTGCTGATATACAGGGCAGGACATGTAACAACCACCCACTTTGCACTTCTGTAAGAGGAGCAAATTTCAGCTCCTTCCAGGCCCCTAGTTTATCCAGCAATGAGATCGGGGCAGTAATCTGGAGGGAGGGGATAGACCTGAGCACAGTCCTCGTCACATCAGGGACGTGGCACTTTGGGAAGATGTCTGACCTAGAGCAAGCCTTGGGATGCACTCTAGTCTGCAGTCCTTGGAAGAAGTCCTTCCTGGAGAAAGGAGCTGGTGCTCCTGGCCTGCCTGCTGTTGTGGGGTGCCCAGGGCCGGGCTCGCTACGGCAGCCTCGGGCATCGCTGCGGCTCGCTTCCTCCAAGGCTGCATGCGAGCACGTTTCCTCTCTGAACATCTGGGACAAGCGCTGGTCCCTGTGCGAGCTGCGGAGACCCGGAGTAGCTCGGTGAACCGAAGAGAAGGTGAAGGGGCAAAGCCAGAGCGCTTGTCCTCACGAGGGAGAGGCCCGATTCCTGCCGGCACAAAGTCTCAAACCCTCCCCAGATTCCCGCAGTGCATATGTGAGCCTTTCCTATACTGTCCTGCACTTATCCTGTTACTCAGCTCACAAGAAAACATCTCGCTGAGCCCGAGAGGCAGCTCCAGCAACCACGTAACAGTGTCACATCACTACCTTTAGCGTGGTGCTTCCTCCCTACTGTCCCGGTCCACCTCTCCCTGCGTCCTCGTGCTCCCTGGGGCAGAGGCTTTGTTTCAGCAGTGGCTGGAAAGCATTGGATTTACATGGGCAAGAAGGGAGGGCATTAAGAATAGGTAACAAATTCCCCGGTGCTGCCTGGCTGCTTTGCTTGGGGCAGGCTGAGCGTGGTTCACCAGGTGATTCAGGAGCTGTGGAGACAGCCAGTGGCCAAATTCTCCCTCAACCTGCAATGTGAGACCTGGGGCTGCCCCCACCACAGGATGGGGGTTTGGGATTGCATTTGTTCTTTCTAATTGAAAGCAACCTGGGAAATCAAAGTCAGAGAGAGGGTTTGTAGATCTCACTCACCTGTGGATTTGTCTCCCAGCCATCCTCTGGCTGGTGTAGACATCAAACTGGCTGCTGTGTTCCTGTAAGCGACAGCTTTTATGGGTGGAGGAGGAAGAGCAAACCCAGTCTGTGAGGCTGGGATCTAAAGGAGTCACGGGAAGGCTTTGGCTGTCTGCGTTTCCGTGAACGGGCACCGGGAAGGCTGCGCTCTGGGCTCAGCCCTGCCTGGGCTGGCAGTGCACCGGCAGTCCCACGACCCCGCATCTCTCCTAAGGGTGCTGCTGTGGCCGCACTTATGCTGCCTTTCCATCCCCCACAAACCACGATGGCCTGAGAAAACGTGCCCTAGCTCTTCCCAGCCAGCGTTTCCGGGCAGATTTCACTGACTATCCAGCTACGCTGGCAAAATCTTTTAATTAGGGGAGAAAACTGCCTCTAAAGCTGTGCTCCCGTTTCACCGGCCTCGCTTCTGTGATGAGCGAACCCTAGGCAGACGCTCGGGCTCGGGCTCCTCCTTGTTTGCAGTTCACACCGTGCTTTCGGCCCAGGACCGGAAGGGCAGCGTGCACTGCTGAGAGGCTCAGCATGAAACAGCATCCTTCCACAGCACACGGACGGGGAGCGGGAAGGGGGAGTGTGCTAAGTTCCCCAAATGTTGCTGTGACCTTCCCAGGCTCCAGGCTAAGATGAATGTCAGAGAAGGGCATCCACACCACTGCATTTTAACAGAGGTTTCAAAGACCTCCCAGTTATTTTCCTGCCCAAGCCAGGCTGTTGCCAAGCTAGATATACAAGGCAGGGACCTGGTTTCAGGG